CAGTGTGTATGATGCAAGGTAATGAACGCACCCCCCGCAAAAAGTGTGTAATCTGTTTATTTTTACAAAATTATTCTGACGTCACATTGCGAAAAACTAAAACAAATGTGTATGGTGCTTTACCCATTCACGCTTTATAGTGGTAAGTAGTGTTTGCATTGCTTTCTGTCACAGTTTAGGCCGTCTTTGGGATGTGAGACTGATTCAACTAGGTCATGCGATGTTGTGGATGAGAGACAAACTCTGGCTGGGAAACCGTGTCTATAAGTGATGAATCCCATGATTGAACTGTGGCAGCACCATGAGTATACGCTGGTCCATATATTGGCAGCATATAGTAGGGGTGAGTGGTATTATTCTGTGGATCACACACAGCAAGGACGGAAGTTCGCAGGATACCGGGAGGGGTATTCAGAGCAATTCATAAAATGATAACTACTCACACCATCCATAGGTCTAGTCTCTCTCAGCTCACAGAACAAGATCGTGAGCTATATAGTTTAAATTTTTTAGAATCGTTGTTCTATTTTTTGTATATGAATCCGGTCTCTCTGCCTGTTCTCACATAGTGGAGAATTTAGTTGCTACGAAAATCAAGAAGAAGGCCAAACAGAAATAATCACAATCGAAGAAAGGCACAATGAATTGTGCGAAAGAATATTGTTGAAATTGTGCGCATTACATGGCATAATCCAAACAAGACTAGGAACTACTATCATTATGTTAGTATTAGACAGTGAAAAGACATTGATGTTATAAAAATCTTAGACAAAAGAATACTCCTCTAAAGTAGTTGTCTGCACGCATATACACATAATAACAAATTTTTCTTCGCATTGGCTATACAGTCGATACTAAAATGCAAAGGGGTGGTTATGGCAGTCTTTCAGCGCTGCGGGAGGGCTTATTCTTCCTTTAAATATACGCAGATTCTCCTATTCGTTCTCTTTGTTCTGTCCATACGTGGCCCTCACAAATGTACGTCACTTAGATGCATTATGCAGCAGGGGCGGTTCCACCCACTAGACTCAGTTTGGGCTCACCGTTGTTATCCTTGTGTGTGCGCTGGCTCTGTGGAAGTGCAAGAGATCGTCGTCGCTTCTGTTAGTTGGTGGTTTCTGTTGCAGACATGCTCAACGAACCAGCGGTCTATTGGCAAAGAAGGACAGAGTCTTAATCAAGAACAACTGGATTCGTTATCGGCGGCACGTGTGGCGCGAGGCAGCTGTGTTTTCCCTTCGATATCACAGAAAAACATTCAGGTAGCATGTGTCCCCCATGGCAAGGCAGGTGCCTGTGGAGTGTCCAGATAGCTTAATGAGAAAAGTTGGTCAAAGCTGATAACTACCGTTGGGACCACTTGCTGCCAGGTGTCCACACTGATGACCCACCTCCATCCGGTCTCTGCCAGGTGTCCCCACTCGACGCAGACAGGGTTGTCAGTGACTGAGAGTGGCTCGTCCTCCAGGCTCGTTTCTCTGCCTGTTCTTCCTGCTCCAGATGAATACGAACACTTTCTTCATTGAGCCTCAGGCCTGTGTGACCGAAAGAGCTCCTCCTGTGTCCAGTAAGTCACCCATTTCACTCACATAGAATTGCTAATCCATAATCATGCCGCTTAAAACTGGTTTTGATGGTATCTCTATGTTTGTGTTTGTCCACTGTCTCCCACCATGTAGCCTTGCACAAGAAGGTCACGTCGCTCTGTTTCTATCTCTGAACCTGTGGAGCCCCTCAGCATTGGACCAATTGTTTGTGAGTATGGGTTACAAGCTGGTCTCAGGGCTGATGTCTCAACACAGTGAACTATATGAAGTAATGACTGTCCTTTTTCTCTTTGTCTTATCTTCAGGGGAGAAGTAACCTGAGTGAGCTGGTATCATACAGTGATGATACAAACATATTCCATGTTTTAACATCATGTTTTTTCATAAGACATAAAATCATATTAAAATAACTGCTGTTACATACATACTGTATAACAGAAGTGGACGTAGCTTGTGAGTCTGAAAAGTGAAGGTAATGAAGAAGTGCCTTAAAGCTGCATTCTTTCTAGCTGCCATCAGTGGCGACACTGGTTGAAAAAAGATATCTGATTGTCTCTGAGAAAATGACCCAACTTGATTTATTACCTCAGTAAATAGTTTCTTGATGAGTTTATGATCTTAATCACTGCCAAAATCAAGGCTTCAAAACGGTATTCCACAAACCAATGGGTGGCATCACAGTGGCTACATCCACTTCTTTTATACAGTCTATGATTACCACACTTTGTATCATTCCTTATTTCTATTATCGTTGTAGTGGTTGGGTTACTGAACAATAGGGATGGGAATAGTAAGGACTGTACTGATACCGATATTTATACTGCATCTCAATACTGATTCTAATGAATATTCTTATTGATACCACTCAACCTAATTTGGTAAAAAAAAAAAAAAAAAACACATGACATGAGAAGATGTGAAAAGATTAAAAAGTTATTCTATTTCTCATTTGCAGAAATAATTGCATTTCGCTACATTTTCATTAAATTTAGTAAAGTGAGCCCACAATTTCAAACATTTTATTGTCAGCTGTGTATGTGACATTACATAGATACTGATAGCAGTTGTTTGTCCCGGAGCTTATCTTTATTTCAGTACTGAGCAATCTGAAACAGGTTCCGGTTTAGTACCAGTTCTCGATACCCATTCCTATTAAACCACAATAAAAAATATAGGGTTTATAATAAAGGTGGAGGTACCTTATTTACTTTTATGTCCAGTATAGCCCTGTGTGATGTGATGGTGATTGGTTTTTTTTTTGTTGCATTTGTTTAGAATAGATTTTCTTTGTTACTTGGGCTTCTAAGCAATACTATTGATTATAATTTTGATCCAATTCCACATTATAGTAATAACAGTGCAAATATATCTCAATGTCCGCCTCTCATCCCTTGTCTTCAGCCATATCTCCACTTTCTTAGGCCTCTTCAGCATTATTCTTCACCTGTCCAAAAGATGCTTTTTTCCCCCCACCAGCATTCCACAGAGACTCTATATTCTGCCAATGACGTGACACTCGTGTTCACTGCCTTCACTGGTTAGATTAGGGACTATACTCATAACTCAGAGAGCCATGAAGTTGTTCAGGCACAGGTCTTAATTCTAATGATAGTTACTCTTGTTAGTTAGGGAACAGTTCTGACATATATTTAAACGTAAATAAAAAAATTATTATAAGATAATTCATCAATTAACTAATTAAGAAGCAGAGGAAAAAAGGAGTCTGGTTAAGGTTTAATTAATTAAATCAATAACCACTAACTATTAGCCTACTGTTACCGATTCCATAGAGGTAAGGAAAGGGACCAGGTCAGGAGGAGTTTTAAATTAGAAATTATTTCCAACTCTAAAGAAGTTTGGATTGGTAAAGGTCACAGGCTGGTTAGGATGAGACAAATAATGACCATTCCTTTATATCTCCAAAGAGGATTAGGAAAGAGGTATATGGCCCTGTGTTATCAATGTATGGATCATAAAGGAATGTTTGAATTTGTGCATTGACATGGTTAGTTGACCTGAGAGGCCTTCACTGACCTTCACACTTTTCATACTTTATTTTAGGTGTCTGGAAGTAACAATAAAATGGCAAGCTTGTAACACAAACACATTGTGTGCCGCCTGCCTGGTGCCATGATTATTTGAGATTCTTTATGACGTGGGACATACTCTATAAAGCTGAGCGAATGTAATGTTACTTTAAGTTTTTGGTATGAATGTGTCCACATGCTGTACCAAGATCTCTGATATCAGATTTGTGTTGTAATAAACGTATATGCAAGCAAGAACGATTTGAGCTGAAGGAGTTTCATTGTTTTTTTTCCTCTTAATGAAAGTTTTGACATAAAAACTCAAAAACTAAACAGTGAAATAGATTTAACCCTTTAGCATTAATTTTAATGTTATGTCACACAGTATTGTGGCTAAGTACCTCTCTATCATGGACTGCTTGTGGATTGTTTCTTCACATGTAACAAATGTGGATTGTGACTGACGACATGTTGTGTACTCCAGGGTGGAAGCTGCTATGTCAATACACTCACAGCACGCTCCATTATCAAGAGAGTGAGGGAGTTTTTGTTATGTGCTTTGATGACATTTTCCTGTTAATGCATTTAAGTGAACTGTTGAATATTCTATTAACAGTTTTCATGTTCAAGAAAAAAAAAACAAGACAATCAATACCATGTATCTTTAAATGATTAAACTAGACTGTAGATAGCTTACCTATTACCCGTCTCTCCTGTATACATTTTATAACAAGAGGTACACTGAATAGCGTAGAGCATGTTCGTAGTGTCAAATGAAAATTATAATAATAGGAGTTCCTTATTCAGAATATCAATAACAAAACCATCTATCAATATTCGGCATTTGGAAGGCTCTGGATCGAGGGAGTGTAAGAGGTCAAGTAAATTGGTAAACAAAGTCAAAATAAACAATGATATAAGCAAAATTCATGAGTTAACCGAGGAGAATAAAAAAAAAAGATAAATGGAGTTGACAGACATGGGAATGTCAGCCATGATGTCATAGGTCATTAATTTGGCTCCATCTAGTGGCCGATATGTCGATATGTTATCCACACAGTTAGAGTAGGAAACATTTTCCAACTATAAAGGTTGAAACATTCCTAAATCTTTGACATTTTTGTAAATAGAGGCATATGTGTATAGACAGAAGTATTTTTAAATCTTACCATTATAACTCTAAATGTCACTTTTTCTCTCACAGGTCAAAAGAGTTAGAGATAACAGGTGGGTGCTGAGATAGTAAATACTTTATAACAGGATAGATTTAACACATTTCCAAACTGTGTGGCTTGATATTATTTCAATATTATTTAGTCATCAAAACCCTTTCTGAATAGTTGCCTACAGGTCTAGCCAAAAAAACATCCTGTTAGTGATTGAGGTTTCTAATGCAGACAGACAGAGAAGACAAGGAGTAACATGTTAGTGAACACACAAGCAGGCAGAGCAAATCCATGGATCAGGTAAGAAATATATTAATATAACTCTGAAAACTGTTAATGAGGTCTTCCACACCAACTAGATTTAGATGTTAGTTCCATAAGTTAATTGTCATCCATCATAAGTGAAGTCAATTATTCCTAGGTTAAAGTTAGAGGACAAGATAAGCTACAATTTCATCTCTTATGGTTTAGGATTTAGGCAAGAGGAGGGATTTGGGTAAGAGTTAAACCATTAGGAAAGATTATCCATTAGATGTCATGTCCAAGAATATACCTTCTACTACAAATTAGGTTTAGGCATACTTTCGAGTGGTTAAGGTGGTGGTTAACAGCACAGTGTAAATCAATAATCAATGACAGAAAGTATATCTTTTTGTTTAACTCAACAGGACAAACTGACAGTCTGTGACAGGACTTTTAAATCCCCCATATTCTCTTAATGAAGTATTAAAGGTCCAGAGTGTAACATCTAGGAAGCTCTATTGGCAGAAATGGAATATAATAATGTTCATAGGAATGATTTTATCGGTTTATAATCACCTAAATATAGGTATGGTTGTGTTTTCATGACCTTAGAATGAGAAATTTTATCTACAGACGCCACATGTTGCCTTCCACGGAGTCCACCATGTTGAACCGCCATGTTTCTACAGTAGGCCAGAAAGGGCAAACTTTTCACGAGTTTCTCTGCCAGAAACTCCTACTAAATGTTAAATATTAACAATGTTTATCTATTCATGAAAAGTCACAAGTCCAGTATTAATCTGTTTGTTAATCTTTTACTCTTTTTATTTCTTTTGGTTTTTATTATTTGACATCGTATTAGTGATGTGAATGTGATGTGAAGTGTTTCTCCTTTATGGGAAGGTAAGCACTGAAAGTTCCCTGATCAAGCTCCTCTGAGGGTTTTTTGCACCTCTGTTTTTCTGTTGTTCATGTAGTATATATACATTTGTATCTTTTGTATAAACAAATCAAAAATCAAAATGCAATCCTGAGTAGTACTCAAACATGCTTTTAGCAGTGTGACTGAAAGTTGTTTTAGAAATGGAGGGCTTTTTGAATGATCATACTTTCAGTAATATGTAGAGCACACTGACCTACTTGAGTCAACCATTTACCTTGGAATAATAAAACACTAAAGAAGAATAAGATTAGAAATATGATAGCACAATGATTCCAGTACATAATTAAAAGTGGCATATCCATATAATAATAACACAATAAATCAAATTGGTAATAAAAGAAAGGTCATCCACTCTAGTGCACTGTTGTTTTCCTCGTTTGTTCCAGTGCAACTGAACTGATCCTAATTTTACCTATTTGATTCATAAAAATAAACTTCTTTAAAGCCGGACAGTTAAATACATAATGCAAAAACATTAGACAGGCAATTGTTCAACCGTAGCATGTTTTTCTAGGTGTAATCCTTTAAATGTCTATCTATAGTTAAGTTGCAAAATAAGGAGCAGGACTGTTGTTGTCAGTGTTAGATTCATAGAACTTTTGTGATGGTATTTCAGGGATTTGTTTACCACATTAGTCAAAAACCCCAGGTCTCAATTTAATTTCCATAATGTCGGACATGGTGACACTAGTTTTGAGCTGTATGCTGTGTGTTTTTTATTTGTCCTATGTATGTGAGCATCCTCTTCTGTCTAGTGTGGCCTAAGAAAGGCCCTTGTTTTAGAGGGTGGATTACTATCGCTGCCCGGTGTGTAGTGACGCAGTGTTGGACAGTAACTGCCATTACTTAAGTATAATATGACTGTTCCGCCAGTCAGCTAGTAGTGTAAATAATTAATAAAATCTAATTTCAGTAATAATAATACATATTACTTGGCCTCTTACTGATCTGTAATCCAAGCAATCAATCCATCCGTTAGATTCTTGGATTTTTGTAATTGTTGAGGAAACTAGTTTGGAAGATGGAAACGTTTACAGTCAGCAGCTGGAAATATTCCATTACTCTGATTTTAACACACAAAACTGGATTTGAGTTTTTTGTAAATCAGATTTTTGTAGAGAAAGGACACAATTACTAATTTGGATGGAAAAGTAGTACAACTATTAGTGTAACTAATTATTTTTGGCAGGGAGTAATAAGTAAAGTAATAATATTACTTTTGAAAGAGTAATTAGTAATAAGTAATAAATTACTTTTTTGAGTATCTAGCCTTACACTGGTAGTGACAGTGAAGTTTACCTGTTGTACAGATAAGATGCATGTCTGAGCCATTGTCACTAGTTTTGTGTTATAAGTCTCTTAACTTAAGTCTTAAGTCTTAAGTCTATAAGTATTTTTGGGCGCTGAAACCATGACCTGTATCACAACAACGACTCCATGAGATCCTTTACATCTCTACATTACGCTATACAAATACAAAGAAATGTCTGATATCACTTCCATGAGGCTCTTCTCAGAAGACAGATTTCAGGCAATGAACTTTCATAATAATTGCAGCTGTGAGTTGGAGGTGTGAAATACATACTAAAGAGGTCATGTTGGGAACCCATAGGTTAATATTTCTCCTTGTGTTTAGTGGTGCTTGAAATATAACCAATGCATTTTGACTGTTGCTGAAGTAAACCATAAAAACAAGTGCAGTTCCTGGGATTCTTGGGATAGAGTGCTTCTGTTCCTGGGATAGAAAATGTGTCATTTTCAGGAAAATTATGAATCCCTACACACTACCACTGTAGATGGAATGAACTGATGCTGAAATACTGGGCTGACAAGCAGACACGAGGCAGGTGGGCTGACTGGAGGTGTTGATGAGCTGATTGCAGGAGGGAAGGCACACCCACAACACAAACACAGAGAGACAGACAGGAGCACCGGACACAAAGGGGAGGGGAAAACACGGAAAAACACAAGGGAAAATGCAGGGGTACAGCAGTGGCCATGACAAGTGCTGTAAAAAATGGCACAAAATTAATGCCAAAAATGATTGCGCTTGTTTTGTAAGAAAACTAAGCACTGAGTCAATCATTTACCTTGGAATGATACAACACTGAAGAGGAAGTGAATTTAGAAATATGATTCCAGTAAATAATGATAACAAGTGTGATATCGATATAAAAACAATACAATAAATGAAAAAGAGAAAATGACAAAGGTCATCCACTCTAGTGCACTGTTGTTTTGGGGTTTGAACGGGCAGATTGAAACTTCGATACTAAAAAGCTACTCATTCGGTACTGATTCCCTAAAAGCATATTGATAATAAAATCATATGAATACTTCCATGATGACATGACATGAGTGCACAGTTGCACACTTTTGCATCAAAACTGTGAGAGAATGGCCGAAAGGAAACGTAGTGTGTTGTGGTGCTACTTTTCACCTGTATATATGTACATTTTTCACACTTACTAGCACAAAAAATAATTTAACTCATATTTGCTTTTCTAAATAATTTGTCATTAATGACCAGTGTGTGTCATGTGATTTGCCTTTTAAGTGTAATGATATATATTTTTTCTTAAAAATTAAAATTATTTTGAAAAATCCCATACCCATTTAAGAAATGATCGGTATCGGTATAACATCAAATTCATAAAGTTTGGCATCTCCCATCCTTCGTTCCCTGAAGTAAGAGACTCCTAATTATGAAGAAACCTGTATGATTCATAAAAACAAAAGCCACACAGTTAAATACATAATGCAGACCCACAAAATGGGGTCCAACTGGTCCAACATGCAACATTAACAACTGCATATGAACGATAGACTACTTCATGCACCCACATTCTATATCATAAGATGTCCAGTGACTGTTTTATTAATGGATGATGATGAGTGTTGAGATTCACCGGATGTCCTCTGAAATCAAGGGAGTCATCAAATGGTTGATATCTTCTGTCTTCCAGTAATATTAATTCATGGTGCATTTACAATTTCCAAAAATGGATATCAGTGGAATTTTCTCAGTCAAATTGAGAGAGATTGGAAATGAAAATGTATGTGAGATGTGATTAAAAGCTCTTAAAAAAGCAAGTAAGTAGACCTTGAGTTAAGATTATTCGGTCAAACTACTTGACTTACTCAAACTACAGGTATAAACGTTTCAAAAACTAGTTTTTCTGGTATTTCAGTCACTGCTGTTGACAGAAGTCAGTTGATTGTGGGCAGATACAGTAATGTGAACACTGAGAGGTTCCTTATTATGATTCAGCCCTGATTGGGTACCATAAAAGATATTCACACTTGTGTGCCTGTTCTGTTTGTTATTTTCTTTGTCTTACATTGATTAATAAGTAACTTTACTTTTAGTAACTGCATCTTTTGATTCATCAATGCTGTCAATGACCTATTTATATGTTTCACCAATGATTGCTTCGTATAGTCCTTTGAACACACAAACAGGCCTATAAATTCTCTCACTCTCACTCATGGGATGATTTTTTACTTTCAACTGTTTCACAGTGTCCAAGGTAAGTCTGGCAACATAATGCATTTTATGCATTGCAGCATCATTTGAAAATGTGATTTAAAGCCACCTCTTTTGTCTTTTTTAGCAAGTTTGTGTTGTGGCTGTGGTCCATGATGGTTGTGCCTGGATATTTGTTTTTGCTCCTAATTTTGCAGATTTTTACAGGAAGCACTTCAGGTAAATCATTTCTCTCTTTCATCAGCATGTTGTATGTTTTTCCGTTAGCTGCAGTGAAGCTGGGAGAGAAAGTCAGGTGTACCCACTGCACATCAGGATATAATAGCTTTATGGTAGTGCAGAGTCAGTTCAGTGTCGGTGGATAAGAGGCATGAGCCTTCCTGTGAAGAATGGAGGCCACCTGGCTTAAAAAGTTGAAGCCAAAATCAAAAGGCATCAAAATGATCAACATATGCAACATCTCTGCTCATACAATATTCACATCTCATATTAACAGTATGTGTTTGTGTTAGCTGATTCACCAGTGAGGTTGGTGAACTCTGCCGATCGCTGTTCTGGTAGAGTGGAGATCTTCCACCGTGGACAGTGGGGGACAGTGTGTGACGATGCCTGGGACCTGAAGGATGCCAGCGTTGTGTGTAGGCAGCTGGGCTGTGGCTCAGCTCGTTCAGCACTACAAAATGCAGCTTTTGGGCAGGGCAGCGGACCCATCTGGATGGACGATGTCAGTTGTTATGGCAACGAACCATCATTAAAAGTTTGCAGCCACCGAGGGTTTGGATCTCACAACTGTGGTCACCATGAGGATGCTGGTGTCGTCTGTGAAGGTAAAAACAAATTAAGCTAAAAACAATAAAGTCTCACAGTGCAACATGTGGTGTAACATTTAGCTGAGAGGATTTTAGTAACTCTTTAACTCTATAAATAGCATTTGTCATTTTTAAACAGAAAACTGTTGTATGTAGTTTTTCAAAGATATCTTCATGTTCATCTTTCATCTTTCATCTCATATTAACAGTATTACGTCGCATATTTTCTCTTAGCTGATTCACCAGTGAGGCTGGTCAATTCTGCCGATCGCTGCTCTGGTAGAGTGGAGGTCTACCATAATGGACAATGGGGGACAGTGTGTGACGATAGCTGGGACCTAAATGATGCCAATGTGGTGTGTAGGCAGCTGGGCTGTGGTCCTGCTCGTTCAGCACTACAAGCTGCAGCTTATGGACCGGGCAGTGGACCCATCTGGTTGGACGATGTCAGTTGTTTTGGAAACGAACCATCAGTAACAGACTGCAGACATCCAGGGTTTGGGGTCCACAACTGTGGTCACAGTGAAGACGCCAGCGTCATCTGTGAAGGTAAATGTTTACACATATTTAAAGTACACTGCAATTGTTATTGCTCACATTTAACTAGAAAAATGACCTCATCAATAAGGTTCAATATTTACCACACACAGTTGATATTGTTTTGTAGAGCAATCAGTCAAATGTACAGTAAAACATACGTTTGAGTCAAGAAAATGTTTTATGTCTGATGATAACAAAATCAGTTACATTGATAATGAATAAAGGGAGCTTTTGCTTTTACTCAGTGTGCAATCTGTAGTTGTCTTGTGAATTCACAGAGACTTTTCTTTCAGTTCCCCAGCGACAGACACATCCCAGTGGTCAGGCTGTCAATGCATCTAGCCAGAATCCTTCAAGTCACAAGGAGTCAAACCCCCAAAAACCCCTGAAATAACCTATGTCATGGGAATTGCTGTAATTAATATGATTATGTGATTGTAGCTCATGCTGTTGTAAACTGTAATGATATTGGGTATGGATAAAGTGCTGGAGAAACATTTGGCTTCTCTGTGCCTCTGTGTCCATAGAAATGTGGATTTATTGCATAATTGTTGCCAGGTAAGCACTGCAAGGCAGGAGGCAAGAGAAGAACTTTGCTTACAGACAGTACAGGAAGAGGGCAGACAGTAAAAAAGTGTGTTATGGACTTTATTCTGACCTTGTTGTTGCACATGCACTTGATGTTTATAACAAAGTTGCACTGTAGTCAATTTCTCTTCAGTATCATGTACGTCTACTTCAGACATAAATGGGAGTTCATGCTAATGAACAATAATAATAATCCTTAGAATAAAAGAGAAAAGACAGATATTGTGTCTGAGTATTGAATTTCTATTCATCTCACCTAACTAGAGTCAACAGGTTTTCTGTTTGCCACCTATTTGTTTATTTGTTTATGAGTGACAGGGACCTATGAACACAGTTTCCTAATTACATGAGTGATTTTATGTGTTTTCGTCCCTATCTCACTGGTAAAGTGGGTAAGGTGGAGAAAATGTGATGTCAAGTATTTCCATGCACCAATCAGAATTTAGCAACATTTAAATCTAAAGGTGATGACAGTTGAAGGGTTTTCAGAGATGGCAATGTCAGTCTGTCAGTCCACCACTTTGGTCCAGACTGAGCATTAATACTAATTAATTGAAAGTCAATTAAAAGTAATCAGGAAAATAGTATTAAAAGTACTCAATGCATAAAAATGTCCCCTGTGACTAGCTAGTCAGTCTTGCTGTTAAACATACTGTCAAATTATGTTTACTGTCTTTCGACCGTATGCAGTGTTACTGAATTTGAATCGTGCCAGCATAATGTTAGCTCTCTGTCTCTATTGTATCTATTTTATATATCATTCCTCATTATGTTCTATACAACTTCAATTTATTTGGTGAACTTTCCTCGCTCCATAAGGCTAGCAATGAAACGATAACTGACTATATTATTCGAGCAGAGACTATATTCACATCATTAAGAAGAGCAGACGAGCATATTAGTGATGGGCTTCAAATAGCAATGGTAGTAAAGGGGCTGCCTGATTCATACAAGCCATTCGTCGTGCACATCACCCA